CTCGCAAAATCTTCTTAACAAGTTGGAGCGCCTTCTCAACAACTGTATAGATTTATCTTCATCTTACGAAAATACGACCACATCACTCCTTTTCGTTCCAAGCTTAAATGGCTTTCTATTCATCAGAGGCGTTGCTCCAGAATCTTACTAACTCTTTTCTCTATATTAAATGATCCGACGTCTCCTTCTTATCTTAAAGATAACTTCCACTTTCGGTGTTCAACTCTCGACCCTGAACCTCGTTCCTCTAACGTCCTTAAGATTGATTTACCTCAGCATAGTACTGTTTTCTTTAAGTTTTCTTTTACAGTTCAGGCAATACTTCTATGGAACGCCTTGCCCGTTAATATAAGAAAAGCATCGAATAAGTACGTTTAAAAAACTAGTCCGGCAACACTATCTTGAGGAAAACTCCATTTGACCCTTCTATTTCTATCCCTATAATAATAATAATGAATGTATAATTGTATTTTAAGTTATATATAGTGCTCCACACTTGCAACATTTACAGGTGAGGTAAGAGCGCCACCCATCATTTTATTTCTTTAGTCCTAAATCAGATCGAATTTAAAAAATCTAAAAGTAAATTCATTAGTAAATTACCTTTATTATTATTGGAATCACTTTTTGTTATTTTGCATTTGATAAATTAAGAGAATCGTTCATTACCGCCAAAAGTGGCTACTTATAGCGGTTGTCAATGTTCTCTTAAGGGAAATATTAAAAATACTACCTCAAATGGCTTAGCAAGATCCTCTGTTATGCCGAAAATGTTGCAGCATTAATTTTGAAATAAATATATGATAAAGTTGAGGATTAATGTTAAGTACTATGTTAGACGAAAACACGATTCCGTAAAATTTTCTCGATAGAAAAAAAATCCAAAGTTACCTCCAAACTAAAGAATAAACCGCTGTCATTCATAAAATAGGTACTTTAAATTAGATCATGAAACTTTGCATACTAACTTAACTAACTATAAAGCAGGGCATATGTTTTTTTATTTTTTTTAATTGTGTTATTTTTACTGTAAAAAGAAATTACCTAAACTATCGGCGTCTTGAAGCTTGTTTCCTGCCGCCTTGTTAGTCTCGCCTCGGCTTTTGAGCGGGGAAGCTGTGTCACTTATGATCAGAATACACATTACGCAACATGACAACGTAAAATTAAAATGGGAAATAACCGTAGTAAAAACAAGAAGCGACTGTGTTGGCGTAAATAAACAGGCATAAATATAATAAACCTTATGAAATAAGCATCTAACGACCTATCTACTTACAGTATTAGGGATTACAAACATGTCGGTACATAATAATAATAATAATAATAATAATTTATTCATATAGAAAGTGATACAGAGTAGGAGTCAAACAATGCATCTTATATACTAAATATGTTCTTAAAAATTAACTTGCTTCCTAAGTTAGGGTAAACCCTGTGTTTTAGGTTAAGCAAAGCTCTTCCCACTTACATAAAACCTTAAATAATATACAAAAAATATAATGAAATAATACAAGTGACAAAAAAATAAAAAAAAAATAGATCCTTAGAATTTAAAAGACATGCACAGATGAAAAAAAAATTAGCAGAGAAGTAACGAATTGACATCTATGAACACTTATGCAAGTACTGTTAACAAATTCTCCGTTTCTTCATAAGACTTTAGTTGAAGCCATTTTCTGAGGGCAATGTTGCAGTCATGCTTATTCATAGAGTATATATGAACAATTTTGTTTACTTTATTATATAAATATGGGCCAAGAAAGCAAAAATATTTTTTTATAAATTTTGTGTTGGGCTTAAAACTGGACTTAATCACAATGTCTTTACGACGTTTACATTTGATTTTGTCAGGGTCATAATTTATACACTGATGCTGTTTTTTTATAACATTTAGAACAAATAGTTGGCGAACAGTTAGTACTTGGCAGTTATTGTAGAGTAATATTGTAGGATATTGAAATGGTTTAAAAGTGGAGACCTTTAAAAGCGCTCTTTGAGCCCTTTCTAAAGAAACCATGTGCGTTTTTAGAGCCCCACCCCAACAAGAAATGCAATAAGTTAACAAAGATTCACACAGAGCAAGATACAGCTGTTTCAAAAGATATGGTTGCACTACATGTCTTAGATTTTTAAAAACATATATAAGTTTGCGGATACGATTTTTTAAATGTTGAATATGGTGTTCAAAAGATAGATTTTTGTCTAGAAGGATACCCATATACCTGACAATCTTAACTCTTTCCAATAACGGACATCGGCAGGAAGTGAGAGAGCTAGGATTTTTTAAAATACAGCTATGTGCACGTAGAGAGAAATCGTTTCCTGGTTGCGTCACATCACGAATGGAAAAGGTCAGATATTTGGTTTTCTCCGCATTTAAAGTTAATTTATTAGAGCACAACCACCTTTGTACAGTATTAAATGAATTTTGGGCAGCTTCAAAAGTTTTTTTCCAATCACCCTCTGCAAAAAGTAGCACAGTATCATCTGCATAGCAAATAGACTTTCCAGAGATGAGCTTCATTTGACAGAGATCATTAACATAAATTGTGAATAAGGTGGGCCCCAGTATACTGCCCTGAGGTACACCGTAGGTCACTGGTAAATCTGAACTCCTGTGATTACTAATTTTAACACTTTGCAATCTATTTTTCATGTAACTCTTAAATAAATTTAACTGCTTTCCACGTACACCAAGCCTTTTAAGCTTTTCCAGCAAGATAGGCACAGAGACCGTATCAAAAGCTTTCGCTAAATCTAGAAAGATCGCTAAACATCGTCTGCCTTTATCCAAATTTTCTGATATAAACTTAATTACGTCATGCATAGCACCATCTGTGTTTTTGCCAGATCTAAAGCCATATTGGTTTTTAGCGAGTAGATTGTTCGTCTCTAAATAGTTGATAAGGCGTTTATTTATTATCTTTTCTAATAATTTGGACAAAGCCGGGAGTAAAGCTATAGGTCTATAGTTAGTAACTTGATCTCTGTCCCCCCCTTTGTGTATAGGGATTATAATAGATTTTTTAAAAGCTTCGGGAAATACACTATCTTCCAAGCACCTATTAAAAATATGCGTTAATATCGGTACAAGTATATTTTTATTATTTTTTAGAAAAACATTTGAAATATTATCCCACCCAGTGGAGCAATTGTTTTTGAGATTCATGATAAGTGATTCAATTTCAGATTCATCAGTATTCAACATAACGAAAGAATTACTAGAAGTCGACATGTCGCTTGAGTCGGTTAAATGATCAGTATCTGCGGTTTTTTCAGCTAAATGTTTTCCAATGTTAACAAAGTAATTATTTACACTATCAACGGCTAAGTCAGCTGTTGCATAAGACTGCAACAGTTCGTCAGCCGATGATTTAGGTTTATTAGTATAGGTTATATTTTTTAGAACATTCCAGAGCTTCCTTTTGTTATTACCAGCACCTAAAATTAATTCACTTTCATATTTTCTTTTAATATTTTTAAGTAAGTTATTACAAAAACACTTATACCTTTTGTAAGTTATTTGTATGGTGTTGTTGTTTGGGTGTTTTTTGGCTTTCTTAAAAAGGTTATCTCTATTTCTAACACATCGAAGTAAGCCTGATGTCATCCAAGGTTTGATAATCCTAATTCGGTTGGCGTATATACAAATATCAGTGTTTTTGTTATGTAGTTTAGTTATTATCTCAATTAACCGATTTACGGCGACGTCAGGATCATCAATATCATAAATAAAACTGAAATCTGTGTTTATCATATCCTTATTGAGGTTAGAGTGATTTAATTTAGAGTAGCTGTTAGTTTTTGGTTGAGAAGTGGGATCAAAATTAAGACAAAGTAAAACAGAGCTGTGGTCGGTAATATCAGACTGGATGATCAACGTTAGAGCGGGCTTTTTAGTTTTTAATAATACGTGATCGATACAAGTTTTGCTAACAGGTCTAGTAATCAAATAATGTGCTGGCATAAGACCATAAAATGCCGTCAAATTAAGATATTTTTCTGTATGTGTATCCATATTACTCGTTGAGATGTCGAAATTTATGTCTCCCATGATAACGACATTTTTAAACAATACCACCGATTCTAAGACTTGTTCCAAAGAGATGATAAATGAATCTGGGCTATTATTTCTTGAAGGGGAACGATATATGGCAATGATTGCGAGATCTACTCCTTTTTTAATTACTAAACAGCTTGCGCCCGTAAAATAAGGTTCCTCAACCGTGACACCGAGACTATTTCTTACATAAACTGCGACACCATCATTTTGGTTAAAACATTTTTTGTTAGTATATCCAATATAATTGTCTAAAGTAGGGATATTTGGGTTACATAATAGCCAGCATTCGGTAAGTATAATTATGTCGCAAACAATTTTGGTTCTTTCCAAAAGCAAAAGCAAAATTATCAAAATTACAACCTATACTTTGTATATTTTGAGTTATAATTTTAAGGTAATTTTCAGTTTGAGGCACATGTGATTGGCAAGAGTCAACGTCTATTGAAACTGCTCTAGATACCTCAATGGAGTCAAGATCACCAAAAACTGCTAATTCGTCGAAAACGCGTAAAAGCAATATAATGAACCGTAATCTTTGTATACCTCTTCGATATTGAGATATAATGTGTGACTACAGAAGTTAGTTAAATATGATAAAAGTGACTCAAGCATTAATAAATAAAGGTCCCTAATTAAATCACAGTTAATCGAAATGGCTTCCTCATTATTATATTCACGTCTTGGTATCAATCTAAAACAGCACTCATCGTAATTAAGTAAATTAAGCCCTTGACAGGTATATTCCTTAAATTCCATATGTACAATATAAAAATAACTTTTTAATAAATTTTGTACCTGCACCATTGCAAAATTAATACAATTTTCATACAAGTCCAAAAAAACAATATGGGATGTGTTATCACCCGTATAATAAAAGATATAAAATTTTAACAGTTTTTGTAAGAAGCATGCATCATATAGTAGTTTATTATAGTTACTTAGATATTGAGTTTTTGAGACTCTGAAGTTCCTTCTCATGGTCCACCCGTACATAAGGTTGTTTCTCGTCCTTACGCAGATAGATAACGCCCCTCGAGGTCCAACAGTACGTGAAATTATATTCCTTGGCAAATTCGCGGGCAACAAAAAATAATTTCTGCGTTTTGTGTGTTAATGCCTCAGAAACATATATTGGCTTACTAGTACCCGGTAAATTTAGGTGACTTGTATTAAGCTTTTCTCCTTTTCCCTTATTACGATTAAATTCTTTTATAGCATTTAATAGGGCTTCTTTTTTTATGACGCTGTTTAAGTCCAAAATAATAGGACGAGACGTTTCATGTTTGGAGAGTATGCGATAAACATCCCTTATATCTGATTCTTGAAGACTGCAGTTCACTGCCTTCGCCAAGATCTTGACAATATCGCATAAATCAGTTTTGGACTCTGGTCTATTATTCTGCTGATAAATTCTTGGCGTGTTTCGTATTTCTACAGCTGTAGCTCGTGATCTCTTTTCCAAAAGCTCAATTTTGTCCTCCAAAGTCTGAATTGTTTTTTTGTCGTTTAAACGTTCTTCCTCCATCGTTTTTAATTTTTCTAATAAGTGGTCATACTTTTCATTCATAAAACTCAGACTTTTTTGCATGTCACAGTTTTGATCGGCGATTTGATTTACTGAAACATGCAGTGCTGCAAAGCGCTTTTCAATTTTAGTAGAGAAGGACGAAAATAAATCTTCTATAAAAGATGTAGTGGACTGAGAAAATTCTTGGCTGCCGCCCTCTAAGCACATAGCACACGACACGCGGGGAAGTGGGGGCGAAATTAAAATTTGAGCTGAGTTACTATATGAGGTAAGCGTCCACTTATCGGCATCGCACGCATCGCATCATACGGATCGTAGTATTGTTTGTATAGAAAGTCATACAAGTGCGTCCACCAATCCGCATCGTACGGATCGCATACAGATCTGCTTGTCGGCAATGCCGACGCTCATGCTCCGAAGGGCAACTTTTGCGATGCGTGCCGATGACGTCATACGGAATGTCGATCACTGGACGCACGGCGTGCGCGCTCGCTCGCCATTTGCATTTGATGATCGTCGCATCCACATACGTTGTTGCATCATGGACGCCGCACAACTAATTGCAGTCGTGCAAGAGTATGAAGAGTTATATAATTTAAGACACCTTTTTTATTCTAACCAACAAAGGAGGGACAATATCTGGGAAGAAGTTGGACGAAGATTAAATAAAAGCGGTAAGTTTGTAGGTTATGTTTATTTTGCTTGTTATACATTTTCGTGCCTTCCACTCCGAACTCTTCTTAATTGCCATTCAACCGACTTCTGAGTTGAAGTAATTTTTGAATTTATCCCTGACTGTTAAAGCATCCTTGCGTGAATTACCACCTATGTTTCGTAGGTTTTGTAGCCCTGACATTTCCGCAAGAGAAATGTTTAAATCATTTTCTGTCCAGTAGCATGTGTCATCTCTTAGAAAGTTGTGCAAACAGCATGTATCCATTACAACAGTCACAATATGTTCTTCGTGCATAGACAATCTTCGTTCAAAAATTCTAAATTTTCTTGCCAATATCCCAAACGTATTTTCTACAGTATTTCTCGCACGACTGAGCCTGTAGTTAAATAATTTTTTCTTCATCTCTTTGGACATCGTCGCGAAAATATGGTCGCATTAAATACGTGCGTAATGGAAAAGCCTCATCACCGACGATGACGTGAGGCAAAAGTTCAGTGCCTCCTGGTGGGATCCTATGTGCCTAAACTCGAATTTCTCAAAATACTAGCATCAGAGTTCTTACCAAAAGCACCGACATCTACTACTATGAATTTATAATTTGCGTCGTCTAAGGCTAACAATACTAAACTAAAGTGTTTTTATAGCAAAAGTAATTTGAGCCACTGTGTGGTGGTGCCTGAATTAGCACGTGTTTTCCATCAATAGCAGTGATCGCGTTGGGATAATTCCATTTTTTATGAAAACCTTTTTCTGATTTAATCCACAACTCTTCAGTAGGTTTTGGCATTACTATGGGCTGTAGGTGTTGAATAATGGCTTCGCAGGTGGAATATACAACGCTGCGACACTGTTCGTTTACCAATCCTGAAGGAAAACGACAGTGATCGAAAAGAGTTCCCTGTGGCTAAGAACCTGAAACAAAAACATATATTTAGGTATTTATTTATTGTTACAGGTAATGCATGCAAGGAGCGATGGACCAGAATTAGAGATAAGTATAGGAAGGCTTTGAATTTGCGCAAGACAAAAAGCGGCCAAGCAGCATCAAAGATAAAAGCTCCTAAATTCTCACAAAAACTTTCTTTTCTAACACCGTATCTAAACGATGAGGAAGAACGGCGTTCAAACCTATCACCTAGAAGTGCCAACAATAACGAAGAAACACAACTTGAGTCACTGAATGAATTAGGTTATCCAGATAACAATGTATCAAGCGATGTACAAAGTGAACAATCCATGCAATCCTTGGGATCATCACGAATTATCCGTAAGAAATCGATCTTCGCAACTTCACAAGCTTCACAAGACCCAACTGCAGCCAGCGTTCTACAAGATTACTTAAGCACGGCCGAAACCAGAAACCAGAGCGATCCTCTTCTCGATTTTTTCATAAATATGGCAAAAACATTAAAGACTTTTCCTTTACAAGACCAAGTTAACATTAGAGCTCAATTATTTAAAATGGTTAACAACGTAGAGATGAGGCTTGCGACTACTCCAATAGATCGTGTTTCTGACCCTTCGACATCTGGTTCTAACGTGAGAATAGTTTCAAATGTAATGCTTAGTCCGGCACCGACTGGTTGGAATTCAATGTTTCCTCAATCGGCTTCTTCAAATACAACGATGTTTGCTGCACCTGCTATGAACGAAACTCTACACATTCTGCCTCTGGAACCTTCGACAGTGTATTCTCGGTCGTCTACACCCAACGAAAGGCCAATGATGTCTCCACCTGACACTAGCCAATCCATTTTAGAAGATAAAAATAATGTGAAACTCGGCCAATATTTACGTCTTAAATAAGTGCCTACCTAACTACCTATATGTAACCGATGTTTAATTTTAATAAATAATTACCTTATAGTCTCCCTGTATGCTGTATTCTGTCTTAATAAATGTGGTTTCAGGATGTCAACAAGAGTATTAAATTTAACTTGCGTCATGCGAAAATATTGGAAGAATTTGGCATCATCATTTAGCAAATCAGGAAACAGTGTGTGATATTCTCCACGTTGCGATCTTTTCTTGAAAATGTCGTGTATCCAGATATTATGTTTCCTTTTTCTAGAGTTTTTAGCTTTTTCTTCCTCTTCTTCAGCTAACAAACAAGCAATTACGATAGTTTCTTCTTCGTTTTCTTCCATTATCTCACAAACAACACGTCAAAACGTACCACTCGCCACTAAAATCCGTATGAAAATGACGTCGGCAATCCGATTACTAGAAGTTGCGTCATAAAATGCGATCGGTGCCGATACAGTGGACGCATAGTAAAACTGGTCCGTTCGATGCCGATAGGTGGACGCTTACCTTTAACCAACAGAAATTAATATCAACTTGGATGGAATAAAATATTTATGTTACATTGCCTAGTATTATTAATTATTTATGTGACTATAAGTTTTAAAATTAGATTGAAAATGTACTTTTCGTGTTTTTTTTTTAAAGAAAAATCTGTAACACTATCGTCAATATCAAAATGTATGTCATGTTTCATTTCTAGAATTGCTAAATTTGGTAGTCTCAACGTTGGCGCAGTCGATCTCAGATAATTTTTTATTACTTTGCATTACTAACGGCAGATGTTAAAATTTTTAATTTTTATTATGACAATGTTTGGTAAGCCATCTTCAAGTTCGGCCTCAATTACGTATTTTAATAAACTCAGCCGAACTTAATAAGCCCTTTTTACAGTCTGGGTCTGTTGCAGCTGCAACGCACGTATACGTGCGCGCTCCTGTTGGAACTCTTCTGTATTTATGTCCGAACGAGCTTGATCTAAGTTAAACTCTTGCGGCCAAATAATTCTGGAGGCATTAAAAAGGCATATTTTTGCGCTAGATTTTACAGCTGTTGAAATCGATCATGAATTTCAGCAGTTAGTCTATTGAAGTAAACATTTTCTACTCGTTCAAAAACAATTCGTTCTCGTACGATAACAAAACATCGCATCTACGTGCTGTTTTCGAGAGTCATTACGAATCGTCTCGCATGCGGACTCAACAATTTGCAGCCGGTTTCCGAAAAGGCTTTAGCACCATATACCACATACATACCCTTCGGAAAATTGTATCTACAGAAGACCGAACATTACAATCTGCCACTTTGTTTCGAGTATGTGGACTATGAGAAGCCTTTGATTCCGTCGAAAAGTGGACAGTGCTGCAACCCCTTTCAGCGGTGCCAAGTTGACTGTCGATATATCGAAGTACTGAAGTGTTTGTACAGTAGGACAACGATGGCTATTCGAGTACAGAACCAGAGTACGAAAACTATCCAACTGCAGAGAGGTGTGGACGTGGAAGGAGAAGGGGAGATCTCTCAAGTTTATGATTCGGAATCTTGATAGCGTGATTTAGGCTTCGTGTGTTTCGCTTGCGGCGCGACGACAGCGCCGCCACAGAGGTATAACAGACAGGGTGACATAATATGGTGACATATTATAAGCGACAGTAGCCTAATGGCATGGTGCGGACCGCGAACTCAAAAAGGTCGTAAGTTCGAATCCGCCATTCGGCTACTGGCGTGAACCACTCGTAACACAAGCAATTTAAACTTACCACGAGTGGTTAAGGGGAATATTAGTAATGTTTATAGCATTGTTAATATTCTTTTTATTAAAAAAAAAAATATCCCCGAAACACTTCACCGCGGGATTGAAAGACGTTTTTAAGAAAGTGGACAGAAAAGGATACGGTATTTACGTCAATGACGAGCACATTACTCATCTTCGATTTGCCGACGATATAGTCCTTATGGCAAAATTGCTGGAAGACCTAAGCACTATGCTCAATGACCTTAATAGTGTCTCCGAACGGAATGATTGAGAAAGAAGGACAAGATTAAGATTAACATGGACAAAACAAAGGTTTCCTCAAACATCCCTGAAACTTATATAGCAAATACCTTAAGCAATATTCACCACAAACTGAAGTCCACTCGTTCTGAATCCTGTCAACTTTCCAGTCCCATCTATTACAATTCTCTTATAAGTCTCTCGTTATGCGACAAAAGCCTGAAGATCTTGCAGAAGCCGGTTTCTTTTATACTGGCCATGCAGACGAGAGAAGTTTGGAAAGATGATGATGATCCTTGGCAGCATCATGTTCAATGGTTTAGTCAGTGTGCTTATGTAAAGTTTAAACTCGAACAGTGTTTTGTATATGATTAAATAAGGGGTTTATAAAGAAATAAAAAAATAATATATTGCATACTAGGCTGCACTAAAAGTATCGGGAATGGAATATTTCCACTGTTCCTGTCATATTAAAATTTAATTGAAAACTCCTTGGTTTTAAAAATCGAATACCACTTATTTATTTAAAAAAAGATTCTCGGTCTTGTCACAAGGTTTTGTCAAACTTGTTTAGTTGAGAAAATGGAATTGACTCGAGAAAATTCAAGAGCGATGATTTATTATGACTTTCGAAGTGGTTTAACACTAAAACAGTGTGTTGACCGAATGATTTCTGCATTTAGTGATGAAGCCCCATCCAAAACCACAATTTTTCGCTAGTTTGCTGAATTTCAACGTGGACGTGTCAAGCTCAGTGATGATCCCCGTCAAGGTCGTCAAAAAACTGCAGTCACCCAAGACAACGTTGATGCTGTGTATAAGCTGATTGAGGAAGATCGACATGTGACATACCGCGAAATTCAGGCAACTTTAGACATTGGCATGAGTCAAATACAAATAATCTTGCATGAAAAATTGAGAGTAAAAAAGTTGTTTTCCCGATGGATACCGCATTCGCTCTGTGAAGAGCAAAAAGCGGCTCGCGTTACTTGGTGCGTTAGAACTCTCAAAAGATTCCACGCAGGATCCTCAAATGCTGTATACAACATCGTATTAGGTGGAAAATCCTGGATATACGCGTACGAACCTGAAAAAAACAAACAGTCACGAGTTTGGGTGTTCGAAAATGAGTTAAAGCCAACAAAAATTGTTCGTGCACAGAGTGTTGCAAAAAAAATGGTGGCCACGTTTGTCTCCAAAATCGGCCATGTTACGACTATTCCTCTTGAGGGACAAAGAATGGTTAATGCAGAATGGTATGCTAGAATTTATTTGCCACATGTCGTTTCTGAACTCCGTAAAGAGAACTGCAACCGCCGCATCATTCTCCATCACGACAATGCTAGTTCTCACACCACACACAGAACAAAAGAGTTTTTAGAGCAAGAAAACATAGAACTATTAGACCATCCGCCGTACAGCCCCCACCTAATCCCTAATGATTTCTATACTTTCCCTAAAATAAAGAATAAATTGCGTGGACAGAGATTTTCATCACCTGAAGAAGCTGTAGACGCCTACAAAACGGCCATTTTGGAGACCCCAACTTCCGAATGGAATGGTTGCTTCAATGATTGGTTCCATCGTATGGAAAAATGTGTCAAATTTCGCGGAGAATACTTCGAAAAGCAATAAATACATTTTTAAATAGTAATGTTGTGTCACTTCCTTGATTCCCGAAATTTTCAGTGCCGCCCTCATACAATATGTTTTATTTAATTTTATAATGTTAATCATAGTTACATACACACAAAATGCATTACGCATAACACATAAATCTAACACACATTATAACCTTAACTACTATAGTCTACAGTAACATTTTTGTTTTTATCTATTTCAGTAATATTATCTAACTCAGCATAAACTATACAGTTAATTGTTTGTATTAGTGAGGATTCAATCGTATTTCTAATTTTACACTACCATGCTTTATGATATTCCAATGAGCTGATGAGTTAGATGATAAATCTGGAGTTAAGTCAAATGACTGACGACAATATTCATCAATAGACAGTGACCTTTAGCATACTGTTCACAAGGGATTCCATTTCCTTCATTAAGAAAGTGAATACCAGTTTCCGAGAATAGAGTATGATATGCTGATGTAAATATACTATTATTAAAAGATGGTTGCAAAGCTTTTGGAGGTATTTGTTGACCATCAATATATAAGCCGAAATAATTAATACCATAGTTTTCAAAGTGAAATGGATTTTCAGTAAGGGAACCATTAAACGCAGAATTGTTCACAAATCCAATTATACATTTTTTGGGTATCTGTCCTAAGAATATATTATCAAGAGTTTTTCCTTGAACACCCGATGGAATTGTTAATTTTTTTCCTCCAGCTTTAGTAATAGGATATTTAGCAGTAGTAGAAGCTAAAACTTTTTGATGTGCGAGTAATACACTTGGATTAATTCGCGCTCGTCGGACAATAAATGTTGCGTCCGTAATACAAACTTTAAACTTTACATCGTTCGACCCAGCGTTTAAATTAAAACTCTCTCTTGATCGAACTAATTTTACACTCATTTTAACACCATTAATTAACAATTTATCTTGGTTGAAAATGTCACCGTGAAGATGTCCAATCATTTCTATTTCCTTACTTTCACTAACCAAATCCTGTCTTTTAAAAAATCCTATGTTTTTACCATCTGTAGAATACATTTTTCCTGCTGTATCCTGATACCAAAGACTACAAGTAAGATGAGATTTTTTTGCAGCAGGAGCTTAGCTTAAAAGGGTTTCCATGTATGCTCGATATGCATAGGTATTATTTGGTGGTGATACAAGTTTTTGGTTTAAATAAACATCAAGTTGACTAAAAAGTAAATGCAGCTAATAATTTACAGGTGCTACTACTGTAGTCGATATCAAGTTAGTTGAATCGTCATTTAATACTTTTGACTTTATGTGGAGAAATGTATGAGACAAATCTATGTAGTCATCGCCTGTCCCAGGAACTTGAAACTCGATCGATCTTGAACTTCAATCTCAGAGAGTTTGTTCAGATCTTTTGCTTGAAGCTGGTTAATAAACTCACATCTCCTTCGATTTTCAATATAAGTGGTATTTTAAATTTATAGCTTTAGCAATTCTATCCCACCCTATCGGATCACTTCTTTTTAAGGGTCTTAGTGAATCATTTATTAAATCAAAAATTCCAGGGATTTTTTCATTATCAATTATGACTTTCATTTGTGCTTTCATTATCCCTATGTATTTTACTCTTACTTGTTCCAACTAAGTTTAATTATAACTGATCTTTTTTTATTATAAGTTTTTGGTATTAAACTGAGTATTTGAGTTGGTGTGTAAAGTGGATTTGCATCATTTTCT